TGTGTTGTTGTTTTTTTTTTTCCTCGTTTCTTTCTTGGTTATGTTCTTGTCGTCTGTTGTATTCCTTCACTTCCCCCTTTGTTTCTTTGAGGAAGTTGTCTTTTGTCACTGCTGCCGCAGACCACGAGAAATAACTCTCCCCCCTCAGGAGAGTTTCTCTTAGGTCCCTCTCCTTCCCTCTGCAGCCGTTAGGGGAAGTGCTGTTGATGGTAAGGATGTGATGTGCCTCGCCGCGTCCCATTTCTTCTGTTTCTGCGGCCTTTCTCTCATTCTCGTTCTAGCCGGTTAACGCCAACGGCGGCAAACATTGGATAACCAAGTTAGCAGAAGACGTCGGGAGGGCGTAGTTTTTTTTTTTTGCCTCCGCGCAGGAAAGACACCAAGATGCCTGAGGCTCCCAATTATCTGCAGCTTGACGAGAATGTGTTGGAGGCACTCGTTCATGCGCTTACCGCTGACCGAAGTGCTTGCGTTGCGGGTTGCCTGCCGCACATCCTCAACGAGATTGCGCATGGGGAATCTGAGTTAAGTGTGCAGCGTCCTGGGCGGACGCGTGGAGGCGGGGAGCACGCAAAGGCCGCCGCAGTGGCAGAGTTGCTGGAGCGCGCCCTAACCAGTGCCCCCGACGCAACAGACTGGTCTGTGGCAGAGGATGGGTGGAATGTGTTTTTGAGTGGTGTTGGTTCTGGGCAAAGGTACCATGGTGAGGCACGAGAGGCACTGAAGTCCCTCGCGGGACCGGCCACGCAGGCATTGTCGCCATTGCTGGCGTTTCTGGCTGCCAAAGAACACGTGTCGGAGGAGAAACTTTTGTCTGCAAGGGGTTTCTACGCCCGTGCTGTATCTTGCCTGCTTCGAGTTCATCTATTCGGGGCCACAGAGAAGGAGAGCGTCATGTGGCTGCGACGCTACGATTGGAGCACGGAGCTCGATGAACTCTTACGCCCTTTTCTGCGTGCAGAGGTGGAGCCGCTGGCGAAGGAGTTGTCCTTTCACTTTAAACCAGGGAAGAAAACTGCACGGCGGGAAGAACCCCAACACTTCTTTTCGTTTCTCTTGCAGTTGTACGAACGCTACAGCCTTGACACTCGCGCGCATGGCTGGGTGTCACCCAAGCTGGAGGCGCAGGATTCTGTTTCTCTAAGGGCACTTGGTGGTGTATCATTGGCCTCAATTGCAGTTGCCGTCTTCCGTGGCGTCTACGGCTGGTACGAGGGATCCAAATTTCTCGTTGCTAGGGACTTCACGGTGCATGGCGTGAATTCTTTTGTGGACTTCTTAGATCGAGTAGGGGGGACCCTTCACGGCGGGGCACAGCTGCTACTGGCAGAGAGTATTTTGTTCCCTTCCGTCTTTCGCGTATTCTTAGAGACGGCACGACTTGCCGCCGAACGAGCGTTTACCACGGGTGCACGTGCACTGTGGAGGCAGGAGTTTCTTGCCATGGAGCCTCTGCGGGCATTCACTGCCGTTTGCGGCGCACGCCACATGTTGAGATGTCTGGAAGCGGTCGTTCGACGCTTGACGGTTGTTTTCTCACTTATTCCTGCCTACGCGGTGAGCCTCTGGGAACGCACCGTCACACCGTGTCTGTCGACATTTGTACGCGGTCTTGAGGCGACCAGCGAGTCAAGTAAATCGACGGTCGACGCGGTTGCAGTGTCACTTGAGGTGCTTGTCTGTGTGCAGGCCATGTATTCTGCGGCGGAGGAATGGCGGGAGCAATGCTGCGTGGCCTGTACTGGCGTGGAGATTGCTGTGTCCCCACTTGAGCGGTTGGGGTTGTGGCGTGATGAACTCATACGCAGGACGACGCACGACATCAATAATTTTCTTACGCGACTCTTTGCGGGTCACGGCTTCATGGAGAGGGACCTTCAGGCATGGGATGCGCTGTTGCGCCTTGTGGCTAGCGGGAAATCCATGGCGCACGCCATTCTCTATGAAGACATGAAGGTGTCTTTGACGCGGCTTGCATCGGAGGAGCAGCGAAACCACTTAAGGGAATATTGTCAACTTAGTGGTATGGAAGCCATTGCAGCCTTGCTGGGAAACACCGGGGGGTGATTCACCGGTCGCTCTCCTTCACTTTGCGTACGCCTCCCTGTGCGCCTCTGACGGTGTACATCTTGCGTTGGTGGTGGAGCGGGGCCAATTCCGTGGAGCGGAAAAGCAGCACAGTTGGAAATTAACATTTCCACCTTCTTGCAGATTAGCAACATGCACAATCTGTTGCTGCTGCCTTGACCGTAGCAGGTTGGGGGCTTGCCTACTCACTCATTGACGTAGTTGCCCTTTGCCCTTGCCGTCCTCATCATCTTCTTTTTATCTAGCGTTTTTTTTTTGCCCGCCGTGTGTGTGCCTTGGGGAGGGAGAGGGACACTCCGCCACGAAGCGCGCGGGTTGTGGCGTGTGCATGCAACGATGTCTTGCCCCACTTCTTCACAGAATTGAGAGGGTTGGCCGTGCTGCGTGGGCCCACGACGCCTGCCGCGCGAAGGGTAACCGGCAGGAAGGGGAAGTCTACTCCGAGGTTGACGAGGCGGCGCTGCGTCACCCATTTTCTTCTTCCCCTGTTTTGTCACGTCTCATGACGACAGAAGAGGCGTTGCGACGGATCTCGTCGGTGTATCGTCCTGACACGTACGCCTACGGCCTTTTCAGCGCGCGCGTCCTCCTCCATGAGGCACGTGATCGCGGGCTTCTGGACCCCGGCATAGACGCTGGCAGGTTCTTCGTGCACCCAGTGACGCTCATTCGTCACCCAGAAATGTTTTCACAGTTTTTCGGCGCCGACAGGTCCCCCTTCTTTTCCGAGATGCTTCAACAACTTCTTGCCGCCCACGATGCGGCGGACTCCCCCGTTGTGCGGATGTGTGCTTTGCAAGGTGTGGATACGGCGGGGTGGGTCCCGTTTTTGCGTGGGCTCTGTCTCTGTGTGATTGTTGGGGATCCAATACTCTCCGAGGCCGGCTTTGTAATCGAGGACCTACTTCTGGGCGGCATTCCCCACGACAGTCTAAGCATTCCGGGGGAATACAGTGAGCGCGGCGTCTCCGTAGCCGACATGCTGCTGGAGGCTGCCACGGAACTTGGCTCGCTGCGACTGTCGGAGCTGAGTTTGTCTGTATACCGACAGTTCATTGCGGAAACGCCGTACGCTGTCAGCAAGAGGCTGGCTGTTTGCGTCACCCAAAGTGAGAGACGCCACCTTGACTGGAACCTGCGCTGCCTCTCGCGTAAGCAACGTGGTCGTTTACGTCTGGCGCGTTAGTTGTCTCGTCGCTTTCCTCGCCGCCGCTCGCCTTGTTGTTGTTGTTGTTGTTTATTTGTTTCTTTCTTTTATTTTTTTTCTGTGTGTACGTTTTTCTGCGCACGCATCACTGGAGAGCTCCATTTTACAACCTTCGTCTTCCCCAACACGTCTTTTTCCCACCTTCGCCCTTTTCGTTTTGCATTATCCCTTCTCTCGCCTCCGTCTTCAGTCTGTTGCGTGGCTGCGCGTGACACGCGATGGAGCTGAACGAGCTGCAGCGCCTGTCGGCGGCGTTTTTCCAGCAGGGGATGCGGTACACCTTCACGGCCTCGCAGCAGCCATCAACTCCCGGCGTCTACCGCTTCGTTTTCTCACGGCCGACCAACGCCACACCGGAGTCGCCGGTGTACATCACCGTAGACATTTCTCGCGCCTCGGACGACAAAGGCGATGACACCACTACAGCGTATTGCGCTGTGATTGAGGGACTTAATTGGCCGTACTACTTTCAACTGCGTGATGGGGTGATGGATGAGGGAGGCTTTTCGGAAAGCCTCTTGGAAAAAGTGGACGCGCAGAAGTGTAAGGTCAACGAGCGGTGCCTTTGGATGTAAAACTGCAGCAGCCCCATGCCTCTGGGCCGCGTAAGATTTCTCCCGTCGCGTTTTCCTTGCTGGGTCGTATATATATATATATTATTTGTCTGTATTGTTTTTTCCTCTCTCTCCCTGTCTGTGCGTATTCCACGTCTTGGTGTGCGTGGCGGCCTCTCCATTGTTCGCCTGCCTAACACACGTGCACGGAACAGCGAAGAGGCATTAGTTGTAGTAAAAAAAGAACGGAAGGAACACAAAAGGTTGCAAAGACCCCAAAAGGACAAAAATAAAAATACCCCCAAAAAAAAACAAAGAAAAAGAACTGGGAGAAACCGAAAATGCGTTTCCATATCGTCATCAGCATTGCGCTTCTCCTCCTCTGTGCTACTGTATCCCACGCCCTTCATGCGGAAGAAACTCCACTTTTAACAGATGAATTTTTGGATCGTGTGAACCGCCTCAATGGTGGAATGTGGACGGCTGGCCGCACAGACAGAACAAAAGAACTCACGCGGCCCGCGGCCAAGCGGCTGATGGGAGCTTTCCTACGAAAAACCAGCAGCCTTGCCCCGCGGCGGTTCAGCGAGGAGGAGCTCCATGTGCAGCTCCCTGACAGTTTTGAGGCCTCAGGAAAGTGGCCCAACTGTCCCACCATTACCGAAATCCGTGACCAATCGGACTGCGGCTCTTGCTGGGCTGTAGCGGCGGCCTCAGCCATGTCGGATCGCCATTGTACCATGGGTGGCGTACGCGATCTGAGGATTTCAGCGGGAGACCTCTTGTCTTGCTGCGAAGAATGTGGTTTCGGCTGCAATGGCGGCTTTCCCGAGGCGGCTTGGTCCTACTACGTCGAGACTGGCTTGGTGTCCGAGTACTGTCAGCCGTATCCCTTTCCACCCTGTGCCCATCACGTGAACAGCACCCACTACTCCCCATGTTCGGGGGATTACGATACGCCTACCTGCAACGTCAGTTGCACCAACAAGGCAATTCCGCTGATAAGGTATAAGGGAAATAGCAGCTATTCCCTGGATGGAGAGGAACACTACAAGCGAGAGTTATTTTTGCGTGGACCATTTGAGGTTGCCTTCACTGTGTACGAAGACTTCGTGGCCTACAGAGGCGGCATCTACAAGCACGTCAGTGGCAATGCTCTTGGAGGCCACGCGGTACGCCTTGTTGGCTGGGGTGTGCTGAACGGAACGCCTTTCTGGAAGATTGCGAACAGCTGGAATAGTGAATGGGGCATGAATGGCTACTTTCTCATCGCTCGTGGGCTGAATGAATGTGACATCGAGGCTCAAGGTAGCGCCGGTACGCCAAAGGTGCCATTGACACAATAATTAAAAAAAAAGACAATACGGACAAAGAAGAAAAGTACAAAAGGAGGAAAAGAGGCAACAAAAAACAACAACATTGGGAACATGGGGATATATTTTTTCAATGGGCTCACTTTATATATATATATATATTATTGCTTTTGCGGGGTTGTAGCAAACGGATGTGAGGTGGTTGTTGTTTTTCTGTCGCTGTGATTTATGCCTTCCGCGCCGGTTGGTTGTTTTTGTCCAGTTTAAGGCGCTTCTGTTGAATGGAGAGACTCGTGTGCGCCTGCCTGCGGGGGTACACTTCGTGAGATGACTTCTCTTTCCTTGACATTCCCTTACTAGCAAGGTGAGCAAGTGGGGAGTGGCCAGTGAAAGCGGGGCGCTTCTGTGCATCATCCTTGCTGTGCATCTCCCGCGGGTGCAGTCATCTGCTTCTTGCTGTATCTTCCGCCGCTGGGTGACGTTCGTGTGAGCATCGCCACGCACGCCCTAGTGGAGAACGCGGCGCCCTTGCTGGGAAGAAAATGAAATAAAAGTATTTGCGTTTGCTTAAGAAACGCACAAGGCAAATGCTGCTCTGCTGCTTACAAAGCTCGGTGACTGACAGTGGATGCGTTTCTCCTAACGACCCATAGGAAATGAAACGTTTGGCATACCGAGTTCGTAGGAACAACTCAATGTGCAGCGTAAATGGCGCTGACGTGGGGCACATGGCGCAGCGTGCCAAGCTGCAGGAGGCGCCGGATCGCTTTTTTCGCCCGCTGTGCACTTCAGCACGTCCTGCGTTTCTGTGAGTGTGTACGCGGAGACAACGAGCAACCAGGAGTGCTTCTTTCAGTGGCGTGAGGGGGGAAGGGGGATTACGACGGCCGCAGAGCGCCGCCATGCAGTAGTGTCAACGAAAAAGGACCGCTGAAGGTGCTGTGAGCACATTCTAACGGAGTCAGTGGCTGCAGGAGAGGCGTGGACGGACGGGTGACAGTAACGAAAGGTTTCCTCGCAGGCAACCCGCAGTGGAGAGGAACGGAATGGGGCGAGGCGGACT